CCAAGGTTTAATAATCCAAAAGTAGAGTTTAAAAGCTAAAGAGGATAGCTATTAAATCACATTCCAAGGTTTAATAATCCAAAAGTAGAGTTTGAAAGCTAAAGAGGATAGATATTAAATCAGATTCCAAGGTTTAATAATCCAAAAGTAGAGTTTGAAAGCTAAAGAGGATAGTTATTAAATCATATTTCACAATTGTTTAGTTATATATTAACAGTAGTTAGAGCTCTACTTGCATTAAGAACTTTTTTCAATGTCGCCTGTGAAGAATACAGGGAAAAGCAATTTCATTTGGAAGGAATAAAAATTATAAAATTTATACATATAATGGCTAGAAGGGGAATTACGTATATGTTATCTAAAACCAATTTCTATTGAATAAACAAGCGTTTGACACATGGAATAACATTTGCCTATACACGTCATTATAAAAATGTTATATGTTCCATGCTTACCAAGCTTTAAAGCATTTTAACTAATTAAACTAATAAAAATTATATAAAACAGATCTACCTGTTTAGCTATTATTAGAGACACATTAATACCAAAACCCTTTTTTAATCGTATAACATTGTGATTGCATTAAATGAGACACAAAATGACTCTAAATAGTAATTTATTATAGTTTCTTATTGACATAGTTGTTGGCGAGATGACGCTTGCAGCTCCGGCATGTATTTAAGTTTTACTGTTTTTAGAAACGCGTGTCCTGTCTTCTAAGATTCGTTATTCGAAGTAGAAAAATGTTTCTAGGAAGCCAAGAGGCTTTTAATTTTTGTATTTAGACATTCATGAATAGTATGTCCATACTTACATTTTATTTATTTTAGTTACTTTTGTGTGGTTTTTTTTATTCATTACTGACGTTAGTTTTACATAAGCTGTAGACTTGTAAGTTACATCTATAGAAATACTACTACTATTAAAGTATTATTACTAGTAGTACTATTAGTATTACGCCATTTTATCTATTAACCGTGTGTTTAACGACTGACTTTAGTTATTACATATTAGAAAAACAAATTAGGGGTGGGGGTCAAGTAACTCAGGTTTGAAAAAATTATCAAATCGAAATACAAATACCTTACGATTTTCCAACAACATAGAAGAATACGTTTACATATCTAGTAATTTTTTTTCTTTTTGAAAATCCAGGGGGGGTCTAATGACTCCTTGCCCCTTCCTGCGGGCGTCCATGCATATTAGTTAACCGCCCTCACCTCCCTATTAAATTTCATCCACCTAGTGCCTCTCTTTCAAATGTTAGTTTCATCTGAAATCTGCATGACGGATGCCCCATGTTTATGTCAATGTATACTCTGTAGTCACTAGAAGTGAATTTTACTATAACCTTAAAATTTAAATCAACTTATTTTTAAATGCAGTTCGGATCAATCAACTATATTTTTATTATACCATAAGTACTTTACTAGCTTTTCCAAATAATTTAATCTCATTTCATTTATCCTGAGGTTCTGTTCATCATTGGCCTTTGATAAGACCAATTAGAATGAATGATAATGTGACATTTTCTAATACACTTGACTTAATGAGGGATTTTAGGTTAGGCTTGTTCTTTCACTTGCCTGAACAGTTTTCTTTTAGTAGAACCAATATGATGTTCTTGAATAGCAATAACAAGTAAATTTATAAACTTCATATGATGACTGTGATTGAAGTTCGTATTTAATACACAAAAATTTAAATGTCTCTAGATTGTCTTGTTAATGATTTAAGTACTTTTTTTTTCTAATTTCAATGCAAATTAGTTCAACTTGAATTCTATAATACAATCTTGATTTGTAAAACAGAGAAACAAAAACTTGAGAGTTAAGGGAATACTTTTAAACATTTACACATGTTAATTTGAAATGTGATCTTTCAGGGTTTTGGATAGAGTTAACATCAGTTTACTGTATCTATGTTTAATGTTATCTGTAATTTAACTATTCTTAGGGAATCTCAAAAGAAATGCTCCCTAGTGGCTCAGCAGTAAGTCTAAAGGCTTATAACACTAAAAACTGGTTTCCAATACTCGTGGTTGGCACAACATGTACAGACCATTGTGTAACTTGTATGTATATTTATTTTAAGGTGTTAAGTTGCTGTTTTAGGTCCTTAGAACCACACATCCAAACCATTACCATCTCCAATGTGATGCTACACTTTAGGATGTTTGTTATAAAGATTACCTACCTTAAAGGTTGAGAGTGGAATACACATTTTGCCAAACAATAATATTAAGATCCAAATAATATGTAGTAATTCTTACAGTAAATATGTGTAAAATGTGATTAAACCCTTCTGTATGATACTTAATACTTAGGATAGTTATTGTAATTTAACTTACATTTTTTTAATTTGGAAGGATACTCTGTCTTGTTTTTTTATAGGTTATTTTTATATTGTTCTAAAAAAATGTGTTTCTTTTAACTACCAACAGGTGTCATCATTTTGTTCAGGAAGTTGATACTATGTGGTTTTATTTGAAGGTTTCAATACTCATCACCAGGAGATTGTCTGATTTTGTGGTAGACTGCTTAGAAGTGCATTCTTGAGAAAAACCTAGTTCTTTTATGCATAAAATCTTCTTTTAGTTGAGATGTGAGTTTAGTCTCATTTTGTCAGACTTATTATCAGTAGTGTTGGTGGTGAATGTGTAAACTTGTTGGGTTCTGTTTGACTTATTATCAGTAGTGTTGGTGGTGAATGTGTAAACTTGTTGGGTTCTGTTTGACTTATTATCAGTAGTGTTGGTGGTGAATGTGTAAACTTGTTGGGTTCTGTTTGACTTATTGTCAGTAGTGTTGGTGGTGAATATGTAAACTTGTTGGGTTGTGTTTGACATATTTGGTAGTGAGTGAATGTGTAAACTTGTTGGGTTGTGTTTGACATATTTGGTAGTGAGTGAATGTGTAAACTTGTTGGGTTGTGTTTGACATATTTGGTAGTGAGTGAATGTGTAAACTTGTTGGGTTGTTTGACATATTTGGTAGTGAGTGAATGTGTAAACTTGTTGGGTTGTTTGACATATTTGGTAGTGAGTGAATGTGTAAACTTGTTGGGTTGTGTTTGACATATTTGGTAGTGAGTGAATGTGTAAACTTGTTGGGTTCTGTTTGACATATTTGGTAGTGTCTGATTATTCACTTTCTTTGTGAAACTCTTTGCCCATATCTTCATGAGATGTGGCTATACTCCTGATGTACATATGTGTTCCAGGTTTTTCTTTAGACATTTCTATAAAGGTTCTCGTGATTACATCTAACAACTTGTTCCTATCTGAAGTGAACTTACTGAAGCTGTCGTCTCTTCTTTAGCTTTAATGGAGAGATTATCATGTGTTTTAGCTTTACACAAGGGTTTTTCTGAATACTTAAATGGCTGAAAAGTGTGCTAAAGTAGATATTTGTTTCTAGTTTCCTGTTACTCTAGTTGGCTTAACAGTATCCAGATTTGATGTGGCTGTCCTACTGATTGTTTAATTCACAATCTTTTCCATTTCTTATGTTTCACTATGTTTTAAAGACTTGATATCGTGTCATGATTAAAACTAATCGTTTTATACTTTGTATAAGTTTAAACTAGTTTGTCTTCATATGATCACTTTTGTTTTCCTTCGTGTGTTATATATGTATATATAGACACACACACACACATACATATAAAAGTTTTTTCTAGATCTTTTATTTTGTGTTGTTGTTTTTTTATAAGATTTTATAACTATTTTAATATTCTTTCAGGGTTGTGCATCTTGGGTGAACATTTTGGAGGAAGTTTATTGATGCACTTAAATTTAGGGTTTAACATATGCCAACCAGACCCAGAAAAAGAAAGAACATCTGAAAAATACATATCAATTATCAATCAAAATGACAAACGTAATGTGTGCACATTCAGAACCAGTAGTTTTGGAGAAGCCTAAAGCAAGCCGGGAGAAATGTTATGTTTGCTCTTTTGACGATTGCACTGCTTCGTTTTCCAGGCCTTGCCAGTTGGAAACTCATTTAAGAGCACACACTGGAGAGGTATTGCCAAGCTTAAGCTTGTGGATCAGTATGCTATTCAATTACATTTAAGTTTACATAAATTTGTAACAAATGGCACTGTGTAGACGTTCAACTAAATATTGATGTTTTCAACGTTCTTCCTTATCATAAGTAAATTTCACCATGTATACATTTGTTTGAGCATAATTAAAATATTAAAAAAGTTGTTACACTAGAATTACTTTGCAGAAACTTTTTGTTACTTTCCAAATATTTGAATTAGTAAACTCAGGTCTAAGACACTTCTCTGGATTGAATGATAATATTGTGTAGTATCTTTTTAATTCTCTTTGATTAACAAATTTTATATGTTTGAAATGAATATACGAGAAGACACTTTTACTCTTGTCTTCTTCACCAAAGTTGTGGACGAATTGAGGAATAGTAGTTTTTATTAAATACTGTTTAAAAGTAATTGCATTTTTTAAATTCTTTAATAGGTAGCCAACTGTTGAAAAGACCAGACGTGTAACTAGCAGACCAGAGAATTATTTATTATGTCTGTTTGTTTTTTTGGCTTGTAGTAGAACTGGCTGCACATCACATTATTAAACATCTAGTTTATGGTTTATTTTTAAACTTGATTTGTTATAAGACATTATGGTGTAACCGCTTGCATCATTGGCACAAAATGAAAGGAGTAAACTAGACAAACGTAGACAGTGGATAATATCATAAACCAACAAACACGAGTGTTTTTAAATTCATCCTCCGAAGAAGCGAGGTCCGTCTTCCAAAAACCACTTGGGTTATTGGATGTATTGTGATTTATCTATTTCTAATCCTATGTACTTGTTTGTATATCAGTAATGGACAATGTTAATTGTGGGACTGAACTTGTTCAAACTGTTTTGTTATCTTAAATTATTGAGGAAACCCTTTCATACATTTAGCCAAAACTGTAACACAAACACTGAAGCCTGAGCTTACCAAGAACCCTCAGTTCTCAGATGATGGAGCCATAGACATCATTTCATTGATTGTTCTAGTTGTTTTACTTTCAAAATCATTTTATTTTTTTAATGCTAGTCTTTTGGTTGTTTTAATGAGAATTTCCGAAGAACCATAATTTTTCTTTTGCTGAATGGAATAGCTGTTAATAATGTAGTTATAAGGAGAATGTGTCACACAACATCTGTTGACGAGGCCTCATCAGGCTAACTGGGATATGACAGACGTAGTAGTGGTCTAGGAACTATTTCTATCCTCTACTTTTATAAACAAGGAGTGTTGTGGTGTGAACTTGATCAAGTATAGATTATGACTTAAATCTGAACCATGCTGCCCTCTGTTGGTTTTTTAGTTTTGTTTCCAACTTGAACAAATGTTAAAGTTTTAATTCCTGCCATTTAAATCAAGGATCCTGCTAGTAGTTTTTTAGCTTTCACTATTTTGTGTGTATATAATGTGATGTATACCAGTTGTGAGGATATATATAACTTGTATAATGTAGTTGTAGGTGTAAGGTTAAGGGCTGGCTATTTGGTTACTATTCAAAATATCTAAATTTACCTTGTATTTCTAGAGGCCTTTTATATGTACATACGACGACTGCTACAGCTGCTATACTCGAGTTGATCATTTGAAACGACACATTGCAAAATGTCACGAAGCCAAAATTGTCAATACATTTACGTAAGTGATAATGTGTGTGTATAATGAACTTATGTTGCTGTATACATGTTAGTACGAGTTATTCCATATGACAAAGTATAGTTTCCATACTTGTAAGTTTCATAATTCACATTTTCTTCTGAACTGTTCTATAATGTAGAAGATTAAATATCTTGTATATTATAAGATTGGATCAGAAAATAATCTCATTTTTCTAAATGAATGTAAATTTATAATATTTTGATCTAAAACTATTTAAACTTGGCAAGTTTTGTAAATGAAACAATGTAAAAATCATGTTGAAAGTTTTTTTTTTCATTATTGTCTATGAAACCTGTCGTGAGATGAACTGAAACTTTATGCTGATAGTTTTGTCATATTGTTGATCATTATGCTTTCATATGCTAGGCAGCCTATAATGTTTTCTCTGTATAATAAAAAACGTTTACGAACTTAGTGGCCGTGTTACAGATATTACCTGTTAGTATGTTACATAACACCATATTTATTATTATTATATGCCAATGTTTTCTCTGACTTCTGTATAATAAAAAATGGTTACGAACTTAGTGGTCGTGTTACAGATATTACCTGTTAGTATGTTACATAACAACACCGTAGTTATTATTATTATATGCCAATGTTTTCTCTGACTTCTGTATAATAAAAAATGGTTACGAACTTAGTGGTCGTGTTACAGATATTACCTGTTAGTATGTTACATAACAACACCGTAGTTATTATTATTATATGCCAATGTTTTCGTTATCCATTGAGTAGTATTAAATAGTTCTACCATGCTTGTAACAATTACTTGAAATATTTCTCACAACGTTTTGTTTTCTGTAATAATTACTATTTAAGTACATTGTGTACAGTTAATGTACTATAATTCAGTATTCCATGTATAATTTTCACTGTTATCATCAATTTTTACCTCCATGGTAAACACTATAGGATGTTGTAAAATAATATTTAACATTCATACCATATGTAAAGAACTCTTCATCACAATTAGCTCTTAACCCTCTGTACGTGGCTGGAGTTCAAAATGTGATTGTCCTGACCTTTTACAGAGTGACATTCAACGTGGTATTATTATTTGATGTCAAAGTTATCAACTATTCATTTTATGCTAAACTGCTGATTAAACGACAGTTCATGGTAGAGTAGAATAAATACCAGATACAGTGTACGGGGACACTGAAAAATACTGTAGATATGCATTTTGGAGGTTCTTTAGGTTATTCAAATGCAATATTCAAACTGTACGATGAACAAAAGTATTTTTATTCTTCACACAAACATCACCTTACACTCCAACTTGTCAGTCAGACTGACATTGGCAATTCACAGATTTACCTTGAGTACAAATATCCTTGTAACACATCTGATTTTTTGTGTACCACAAACTTGTACATTTAACTAAACGTTTGCCACATTTTGTGTACATACATGTAGTAAACTTGAAATTATAGTCAACATTCGTTCTCCAATATGCAATTGGTCCAATGGACTGAACCTCATGCACATTCAGCTAATTCCATTCTCAAAACTATGTGGTGGTTTTCAACTTCGAAATGGACTTTATTTAATTCAGAACTATATTCCTATTGGGAAGAGTATCTTATGGTTTACAAAGTGCTCTACGTTTTTGTATTTTAATTGATACACTGAAGTTATTCATTAGCATAACATCGGAGGGCTGTTAACAAGTACAACATGCTACATTACAAGGTGGAATAGTGTTTAGAATCATCTATGTTTGTATGAAATGCTGTTGGCTAAAAATGTTTGTACAGTATTGTGTCATGGTAATTAGCAGAGTTTCAGAAGCTGAAGATTGAAAATGAGAAAAGTCTAGTGTATTCCAGTAGATAAAGCAATTGTTTGTATATGTAAATATATAAAAATAATTATTTGATATTAGTGTTTGTGCCACAGATTTTTTAATCAGTAAGATACATTAAATATGTAGAAAGTGTAATATGATGATTAAGCTAATAAGATCAAAAGGAAATATTAAAAGAAATTATCCACAAAAGGATTTTTAGATAGTAACAGGTTTCGTGTGTATGTAGCTGTGAATACGAGCAGTGTGGAAAAGTACTTTCTTCAATACACAGCTTGGAAAGACACATGAAGACGCATGAGAAAAGATCATATAAAGTGAGTGTGTTTTTCCCTGCAAGTTTCTATACATAACAGTATTGATTTTTTTATTTAGAAATATTCCCAAATCAGCTGTTATAGCTTTTAAAAGTGTAGCTTTCATGGCTTAAAATGAAATTGTAGGGCTTCACTAAATTCATTTACCTGTGATGTGAATATCCTAATTTCCTGTTACCATGCACTGAAGGTTTCTTGTGTGGCTCAACTAATTTTCATCCAGTTTATCACAATAATAAGGAAAAAAACACTTGAATTACTTTAGCAGTGTTGACTAAGTAAGTAAAAGTCTTAAAGGGAACACAGAAATTCAAAGGAAATTTTAAGTAAACTTATGAAATTCCTTTCATGGGATATGTAAATAGTAACTAAAGGTATAGCCTGAAAATTTAAAGATATACTAATACATTTTCTTTGCTTCTCAAATATGAAATAAAACCTAGTATCGTTCTTCAAATGGTCAAAACTTGTATACATCTTAGAAAACTGGACCTATTACTAGACTTTATTAATTCTGTGCTGGAACTGGACCTATTACTGGACTTTATTAATTCTGTGCTGGAACTGGACCTATTACTGGATTTTATTAATTCTGTGCTATATTGTATGGTTATTTATTCCAACTTGTTTACAATTTAATTTGGTAATATAGCTGGCAGCATTTAGATGATCTAGTAATAGTTTAGTGTATTGAATTAATAAATGTATTGTTTATCTCTTTGTAGTGTCCTACTTGTAAAAAGGCTTTTCTAAAACATCAACACCTGAAAATTCACAGTTTTGAGCACACAGGAATAAAACCTTTTCAGTAAGTACTGCCATTGTAACTTCCATTACAGAAGTCTTAAGCTGTGGTTTCTAATATTTCTGTTTAGTATTGCCAAGTACATGTAGAACTTTGTAAGAACTGTATACTAAATGTTTTGTTTTTCTTTGTATTTTTTCTGTCAGTTGTGTTCATGATGGATGCGGAAGAACTTTTGTTCTACCCAGTAAACTCAAATCACACATGAAAAGTCATAAAGGTTTGTATCTGGTTTCTTAAATTTTAAATCGGTGTTGGTGTTTTTATCTTAGTGCAAAAAAATAAATTATACCAGACTTGCAAATTTTTGTTTTTTTACACTAAGTTTTGATGTCAAAAATATTTTCAAATATGTGCCAGTTGTTGAAACAATTAACTGTGCACTGGAATGTTATCAGAACGACTTCTATCTCAGATCCTGTTTAGATGTTCCTGTCATGAAAGAATTATTTCATTTTTCAGCAACTCAACAACTTTTCAGTTTTAAAGTGTTGATTATGACCAAATTCAAAGTCTGTGTATGGGAAATCCAGTTCTACCTGTTTTAGCGAATAAATTTATGATCAAGAAAGAAAAAAATTGATATCTTCTCCACTTCCCCATACCCTTTAATCTTCCAGTTTTCTGAATTTGTTCTGTTTATGATATTTTTTAAATGTTAAAGATTAAAATGATGTTGATAGTTTATTTTAAGTTTTATGGTAAGTTTTTATTAGTTAATGTTTTAGTGGATAAAAAAAAAGAGTTTATGAATAAAATAATAATTATAAGTTTTTTTTTATCTGGGTGAAACTATTTGTCCCTCTCGACAGGCTTTTCTCAACGAGAATAATGTATGAAAATCATACTTTGTATCACAAAAATCCAGCATATTTCCTGGGTGGTAAATATAACTATTTCCCCTATAAACTGAATTACAGGTCAAAGAAACAAGCGTTAGGAATTTAGAAAACCCACCCCTTTATTGTACATTGATGTACATCCCTATCCTTTCACATGCTATCCAGAAAATGTGGTCAAACCTGTTAGTGTGATATTGGTTTCTGTGTAGAAGTTTCCTACCAGAAAAAAATTACACCAGTTTCTGGAAAGAAAATTAGTTGGCAATGACACATTAGGATTGATGAAACTAACCACCCATTCACTGTGGCTTGGATGTATATTTTCCACTGCTTCCACCCCCCTCACACTGCAACTGGAATAAATATTTCCCACTGTCGACGCTCTGCTGGGTCCAGGTTCATCATCCTGACTATCATCACTAGATGGAGAACTAGCATCCTCTTTTCTCATTGTCTCTTCATCATAACGCATTTGAACACCATTTGACTCAGTTTCACTATCTGAGTCAAGTGCATCAAGCATATTTAAATAGTAATTAGGGTTACTACTTGCCACTCTAGCAATGCAGGCACAGTCAGCATGCAGTTGTTGTACATTTTGCTTAGGCATCTTGTTTGTTACTGAGTGTAAAACATTGAAGGAAACCATATATCAACATTAGTTTGGATGCCAGTAAATACTTTCTGACTCATTTTACTCCCATACATCATGAGCGACAATTTTGAATGAAAATGGGAAACATTTGTCCAGTTAACGTGTGAGGCAACTGGGAGCATCCCAGCTACAGTGAAAGGGTTAAAGGTAACTGAAGCATTGGGAAATATACATCCCAGCCACAGTGAAAGGGTTAAAGGCAACTGAAGCATTGGGAAATAT